GCGTTCTTTCTTTTTAAGGATGTTCCAAACAGTTGATTTGGCCACAGCTAATGTTTTTGCTATCTCTCTGATGGGTTTGTTTTGTTTTTTCAGCCTAATGATGGCTTGCTTCACTGATAGTGACAGCTCTTTGGATCTCATATTGAGAGTTGACAGCAACCAATTCCAAATGCAAATAGCACACTTGAAATTAACTCTGGATCTTTTATCGGCTCCTTGTAAATGGGATAATGAGGGAATAACACACACCTGGCCACGGAACAGCTGAGCATCCAATTGTCCCATTACTTTTGGTCCCTTGAAAAGTGGGAGGCACATATACAAACTATTGTAATTCCTACACCGTTCACCTGATTTGGATGTAAATACCATCAAATTAAAGCTGAAAGTCTGCAGTTAAAGCACATCTTGTTCATTTCATTTCAAATCCATTGTGGTGGTGTATAGAGCCAAAAAGATTAGAATTGTGTCGATGTCCCAATATTTATGGACCTGACTGTGTATATATATATATATATATATATATATATTATATTTTTGTGTATATATATATATATATATATATATATAAAATTTGATCGTTGATAATATGCACATAGTTGTTCATTTCATTTCAAATCCATTGTGGTGGTGTATAGAGCCAAAAGCTTAGAATTGTGTCGATGTCCCAATATTTATGGACCTGACTGTGTGTATATATAAGAGCAGACATTAGGCTGTTAGTGTAGGACCTGCCAAAGATGGGGTACATTGACGTTGTAGGCTTATGCAATGTATGATCATATAATGTAACTAAACCCCCATTATATTTGCCTAGATTTTTTTTTTTTTTTAAACTAATAAAATCTTTTGCTGTTTAGTGGATAGGTGAGTGCTCTGGATCTTGTGTATTGTATTATTTGCCCCCCCAGCAGCACCCCCATTTATGCATGTTCAGGTGAGTGCAGCCAACCCCCCCTTGTTTTTTTTTTATATATATATATATATATATATAAATAAATATAATTTGATTGTTGATAATATGCACATAGTTGCATATGGACCCTTTTTTCCAAGATTTTTGACAATACAGGGAGCAATGATATTGGGCGATAGTTAGATACCAAAATATTGTCACCACTTGTATGGATAGGTACAACTTTTGCAGTCTTCCAAAGTTTGGGTATGCATCCTGACACCAGGGATTCATTGATAAGGATAGTGACAGGTTTAGCAATTGCTGGCGCACTGAGCTTCAGCAATATTGCTGGGACTTGATCTGGTCTACACTGGTTTTTCAGTTAAGATGTTTATTAACGACACTAACAGGTACATGTCTAAAATTGAATTTGCCTAAATGAGGATTTTGAAGATTTGGCAGGGCCTGATCTTTATTTGCGGTCTGAAAATGAGTGTCAATTGACACTGAGCACAATCATAAAACAAAACATAGCAACAAAGAAGAAAAAATGAAATTACTCCTGTTCAAAAGTCTGCATACCCTTAGTTCTTAATACTGTGTATTGACCCCTTTAGCATCAATGACAGTTTTTTTTGTAATAGTTGTGTAGGAGGCCCCTATTTCTTGCATGTGGTATAGCTGACAATTTGTCTTCGCAAAATGCCTCCAGGTCATGCAAAGTCTTTGGTCGTCTTGCATGAACCACACGTTTGAGATCTCCCCAGAGTGGAGAAATAGGGACCCCGATAGTACCATATGTGCTGGAGCTGAGGGATCGAATGGAGGCATTGTCCCAGACGGTACGCAAAAACCTCCAAACTGCTCAACAGTGCCAGCGAGTATGGTATGACCAGAGAGACAGGCACTGTAGTTTTCAGGTCGGACAAAATGTTATGGTACTTTAGCTAGTCTGACATGATAAACTACAGGTGGCCTGGCAGAGGCCATATACATTGATTGGACAGGTATGGGACACCACATACACAGTGGCAAGTTGCGAGGATGAATAGGTGAAACGGACCTTTCACATAAACATGCTCAAGGAGTACAAAGGCAGAAAGAGGTCAGCCGACTGCCCTGGCTGCTTTTGCTGGCTCCAGCCGACTGCTCCTGCTTCTTGCCTCTTGCAATTACCCACCCCTCCCTGGTCCAATGTAAGCATCAGGGAGGGAGATTAAACTTTTTTTTCCCTTTAATCGAATTTTTTTTAAATCCATTTTTTTAAGCAGCTCCTGTCCCCACATAGTACCTGTGCATCCATTTACAACACCTGTGCCCCTGCTCCCCTCTACAAGTCCAGTCCCCCTCAGCACATGTTCCCACCTCTACATCCACTGCTCTTTACAGCAACTGTGCCCCCAACACAGACCCTGTGTGCCCTCTCACAGCCCCTGTTCCCTCTCTCAGCCACTGTCCCCCACTGCCGCCCCTCTGCCCCATCAACACAGCTCCTGTTCCCCCTCAGCCCCTGTCCCCCCTCTACAGCTCCTGCCCCCCGCTATCACAGCTCATGCCCCCCGCTACCACAGCTCATGTACCCCCTCTCAGCTTCCTTTCTCAGCTTATGTACCCCCTCTCTCAACCCATAACCCCTTCTCTCTCGGCCCTTGTGCATTCTGTTTCAGATGTATCACCATTAGTCCACATTTTTGAGTGATCAGTGAATCATCCGAATTCTGCAACTCCAAGTGGGATATGAATAAATCACAAAACAAATTAAATTGATAATGAATTAGCTGTTTTGTTTGTTTTGGGATGCGTAGTTCTGTTCATAGTGCCAGAAAAAGAAAGACAGAATTGAGAAGAAGCTGTTTTAGGTGGAGAAAATAAACAGCTCAGTTTGTCCTGATGGACTAGAGGTCTTCTTAATGATGAGGGCTGCATCTCCTGTCAGAATAAGAGGTGGAAAAAAGATGATTGATGATTAGAAGAGCGCTGTTAAAAGTCCCCTCTCTCAGCCCCTGTCCCCACTCACCTCATGTCACTACACCCTTCACTATGGCTCTACCCCCCTCTCCACAGTTAATGCTCCCCTACCACAGCCCTGTCCTCCCCACCATAGTCCCTGCCCCCTCCCTCTCAGCCCCTGTCCTTCGCCCTACAGCACCTGTCCCCCACCATTTCCCCTAACTCCTCTACTACACATCTCTCCAACTACAGTCTCATATGCCCACGTGCAACTCTGTTCTTTTACAGCCCATACCCCCACTACAGCCCCTATTCCTATACTACAGTCCTTACCTCCCACTACAGTCTCATATCATCCCCACTGCAGACCCCCTCCCCCAATTGCAGCCCACATCACCCACACCATAGCCCCTCTCCCAAATTGTAGCCATAAACCTAGTTCAGACCCTATCCCCCACTACATTGCCCACAGATTCTGAGCTGTACAAGGAACACAGGCAATACTTATATTGTATATATTAAATTCTTATAACACTCATTGTTGATTTGAAAGAAAGGTGCTGCAATCACTTGTCTGAAGAAGGTGAGCGACTATTTAATGAACATTGTCAGAGAGTAATAGTGTTTCTTGAAAGTTTTTATGGAATGGAATTCAATGCCAGCTGTGCTCATGCTAACCTCGTATTTTACATGCACATGTTATAATAAAGGTCTGCCAACAATTCATCTATATAGTGTGTCCAGATATTTGTGAATTAATGCAACTCTTTAATTCAGATGGCAAGATGTTGCTATTTATTTTATTCTAGCAACTGAAGTGTGGACAAAAGGTAATTAAAGATGTTATCTGTTCCTGTAATTATGATTTCCCAGAATCAAAGGTTGTGGGGGCAGATTGTTTTGGTAGCAATAAGAAAGTTTTATTGGAGTTCTTGGCATGGCTTTCTGGCTCCAAACCCAGTATAATGTCCTATTCTATTAAGTAAACCTATTATAAAAACAAACCCATTAAACTAATATGAGATCACCTCTTAAATCACTATAAGTGTAAAGACATTTAGAATATCAAAATTGTTTAAAATTTGTATCTCCAAATTAATTGCTGTGGTAGTTTAAGTGACCTTAAAAATTAAAAGTTCCATTATATGATTACATTTACTATAATGATCCTTCAAAGTAATATAATTTCAAGTAGCATGTAATTATCTGTTCCTTTTAAATACATATTTTTTATATTAATTGCTGTATCAACACGTTATAATGTTTTAAGAGTATGCAGGTTAATATTTTATTTTTATAAATAAATCATATTTAATATGTTTTTTTTTCCGTTTGCGATAATATTAGTTGATATTAACATATGCCTTTTAAACTAAAGTGAACTTAAATAAATATACTAGCGGGCTTCTCTTTTTGAGCATTTCATAAAGATAACATCCTTCAGCAAAGTCAAAAGATATAAGCCAGCTGTGGAAATTTAGTTCATGCTACTGTTCAGTTCATTCAAATTTTGTTAAATACATTCAGGACAGCCATTCGGACAACAAGAACAGCAGGAACAATGCTTCTCAAAAATGGTTTCAATCAGGGCCAGACTGTCCCACCTGGACACCTGGAAATTCCCCAGTGGGTTGGCATACCTTCAGGGCAGGTGCAACAATAAGGTGTCACAGGCAGCTGCCTAGGGAGCACCGGCCCACAGGTGACCATGATGACAAACAGGAGGGAAGCACACTGTACAGCGCTCTCCTCCTGCCAGTCTTTGCATTTCTCACTGTAGTTGGGGAGAAAGAACATCACAGTGGTGCTGTGGGGGGAATAAAGACACATACAGTGAGGGGAAAAAGTATTTATTCCCCTTCTGATTTTGAACGTTTGCCCACTGATAAGGGAATGATAAGTCCATAATTTCAATGGTTGGTGTATATTAACAGTGAGAGACAGAATAAGTAAAAAAATTCCAGAAAAACGCATGTCAAAAAAAGTTATAAAATGGGGGGCGGAGCCTGACCTCGAGGAAAGATGGACGCTTGAACTCTCAGCTCCCTCTCCCCTAAGCACTATAATGCGCAAACATCCGCATAAACCTTTGTACTCAAAGCTCAATACCAACCTCCACACTCCCAGAACAACACGACCGATCCCTGGAGCCATGGATGGTGGGAAAAACAAAAAAAAGGAACAAACCCCATCGGTCGCATCAATGTTCCGCAAGCTGGGATCCACACAGAGGCCTAGTAACTCCCAGCGTACGGAGGATGAAGAATCTGACCCAGACAACTGTGCCCAAACACCGGATCCCAAAGCCCCACTTACCATTGGCATCCTGAGAGGGATGTTACACGAAGCCACAGCCGATATTAAAACTCATGTGGCGTCCGAAATAAATAAACAACTAGCAGGCCTCAAAGCGGACGTGACCGCACTTTCCTCCTGGGCTGACCAAACCGAAATTCGCATATCCACGCTCGCAACAACTACAGCAGCTCGTACCCAAGATATAGCCTACTTTCATGGCCGGATGACTGCACTGGAGGACAGCCTCGAGGATCTCAACAACAGATCCAGGAGGAACAATATCTAGATCAGGGGCCTACCTGAATCCGTCTCCCTGGAGCAACTGATCCCCACGCTAAAATAAATCTTTAGAGTGATAATACCGGACCTCCCAGAACAAGACTTGGATATAGACAGGGCACATCGGGCTTTAAGACCACCAAATCTCAACATGACCACCCCCAGGGATGTTATAACCCGTCTACATTATTTCCCGGCTAAAGAGAAATTGCTACATGCAGCTAGGGACCGACCACCCAGATACAAAGACTTATGTATCACCTTTTTTCACGACCTAGCCCCATTGACGCTGAAGAAGAGAAGGGATATAAAACAGCACGGCCTGAGATTCTCCTGGGGACACCCCTTGAAACTGCTGGTCAGGAAGGACGAACAGACCCATATACTCATGTCCCCGGCAGATATTGCCCCCTTTGCCGATTCATTGGGCATACCACTGGCGCACCATACCCCTCTTTCAAGAAACTGGGACGATGACCGACCCAGAGGCGGACAGAGATCTCCACGCCACACAAGAAAAATAAAATGCCCACTCACCTGGAAGATGCAACTCTGAGCGCCCAGGAGAACTAAGCGCCCCACAGGACAGATGTCGGCGTTTCCTGGTACACATGGGCACATGCCTCTGCCCCTAAAATAGACAAAGCACAAGCCCCTGTCCCACAACCTCCGCCACAAAAAAAAGAACTCCCATCACCGACAACGCAAAAATCTACGGCCCGTAACTGCATCCCCATGTACCCAGTCACTCTCCCGGACACTGGGAAACCACCCCTAATTGTCACCCACCCGGGCCTCTTGGACTTGACCCCCTCATACAACACAGAAGAAACAACAAACGACCTCCCCACTCTCCTACCTGACCACTCCAAGAACTGGAAAGAACAACGAGTACCCCCAAGCAGAGACAAGCCCGATGCAACAACTGGATGTAAAGGAGGCCTGGAGGGCACCCACTAGTCACCCCTCGCTGCCCCCCACCTCACCTCAAAAGAAGATGCACAACCATGTGACCCCCTGCACCATGTCACCTGACGTATCAACTTGCAGCAGCCACCGGAGGAGAATCTGATCACTGCAGTCCTTCTCAGTCACTCCATATAAGCAAAGACTTTACCGGGAGTGCCTCAGACGCCAAACGTATGGTACTCATCATACACTAAATATGACAAGAAAGGCTACCTTCAGACTATCACAATCCTAAAGACAGACTAGACTCACAGGAAACATAAAATACCTCCCTGACTCCCCCACCCACACTACAGGAGCAGGAATCGCCTTACACCAGACTAGACCTACCGACCCTCATCCCACAGGCCGCCAAAAGATCCTGCTCCTGACCTAAAACTACAAGAGACTATATACCCCCCTTTACACTAATGATCCATGTACTAACCATTCGATGAACCTGGCCACCCTCCAACCCCCCCAATCTACCCTACCTGACCAGACACACCATAATCAGAATGCCAATAACAAAAATATAATAATACTGTAATAATAATAATAAAAAATAAAAAAAGATCTGTCAGACAAAAACCCACCCTTGGTGACTCTCCTGACCCACCACTGTCACCGGACGTATTCAACACTTAATGTAAAGAGGGAAGCAAAACCCTCACTCCCATACAAAACCCCTGAGACGGAGGACCAGGGACCCAGGGACAGAAGTGTAATGTCTTAATCTTTGCATGTCTATTAATGTTTAAATTGTTTCACATTGTTTCAAAATGTTTAACTACCTCTCACTCCTGTTTATAATAGTTCGCTAATGAACCTATGCTTAAAATGTTCACATGATGTTTGAATATTACTAGTGCACAAATGTACCACAACCGAGCCACACTCCAACAAGCTCCACGAACCCTCCCGCAACCTATTCCACCTCCTGAATTGGAAAATAGTACCCACAAGCACACACACGGCACACGAACCAAACAAAGCTGAATGCTCATCAGAAACCGTGCGTGTTATTCAACACCGAGTGCTGAGGGGGAGAGGAGATGGGATTGTGAAAGCCTTCCTCCTCTCTCCCTTACCTATTTTCACTAGCCCCTGACAGGGCACCACACATACACAAACTCACCCCCCAGGCACCACCTAGAGCCCCCCGCAATACCTGGCAGAAACACAGTAAGACCAGGGACCACACACACACACACACACACCTCCCCATCCCCCTCGTTCTAATTTCCCCTCCCCCACGCCACCAATTCCCATACCCTCACCTCCCCCTACTATTGCAAGAATTCGTCACAACACGGGAAAGCCACTTCCCCCTACCTGACCATACACAAGAAATCTACAATGCCCAGAATGATCTCATGCATCTCGCTTAACTGCAAGGACCTCAACAATCCCACTAAAAGGCACCAATTAGGTGGGCGAACCGTGCGAGAGCCGATCTAGTCCTCATCCAGGAAACACACTATGACAACACTAGACCCTTCCCCCTCAGGAACAAAAACTACACCACATGCCACTTAGCAAACTCACACTCTGGAAAACATAACAGAGTAGCTTTATTGGTCCACAAATCCTGCCCCATCCACTTCACGGACCCCCACGGCAGATATGTGACCATTGCAGACAACATAGGTAACCTACATCTATTTACGCCCCTAACACCCCAGACGCACAATTCTGGACAAACATCAGGGCCCGAAAACGTAGACCAAAACCGCACCAAACTGACATGCCAGAAAAGCTTCTCACCCTTCAAAACTAGATAAAGCGCTTTTGAACTTTGCACATCTCACAGGCCTTCAAGACGTCTGGAGACTACAACACCCCACAACACCAGACTTCACATTTTACTCAAACCCACACTCCAGAATCAACATGTTCCTAGTCTCCCCCTCCCTACTCCCCCAAACCAAAAAATCCACAATTGGCACCATAACATGGTCAGACCAGAAATATCCCTTGAATTAGAGATCTCTCAAACGGCCAGACCATGGACCTGGCGGCTCAAACCCACCCTACTCCATACCACAGACATCAAAAACAACATACACCCAGAAATAGGAAACTACTTCAAAGACAACAAAAACTCCATAACCTCCGCAGGTACACTTTGGGCGGCACACAAAGAAGTGATCCGGGGAAAACTGATTGAACAGGCCACTAGACTTAAAAAACAGAAACTTAAAGAACTGGAACACCATCTATGCTCATTACGGGCCATTACAGCCAAACACAAACAACCTCACCCCCGACTTGCTCCATCAAATTAAAACCCACCAACAGCCCATCAAGACATTCATGACCAAAGATTCCCCAAAAGCTCTACTGTGGACCAAGCAACTTTTCTATGACAAATCTAATAAAGCTGACTCCCTTCTGGCTTGCAAGCTCTGACAGAAAACCCAAGACAAACTCATCAACAAAATCAACTCACCTAAAGGGAGCACCTACAACACCCCAGAACGAAATGCCTTAATCTTCTCCAAATACTTCACAACATTATATGACCACAACCCAGACGCCCGTCAACCCCAAAGACTATTGCAAACCCAAGAAGCCGCACAATCCTACCTCAATGACCTCCCCCTTCCAGCACTATCAGACAACGCAAGAACTCAATTAGCTGCCCCCATCACAACAGAAGAGATAACATAAACACTAAAAAAGATCAAACCACATACATGCCCGGGACCAGATGGATTCACTGGCCTTTACTACAAAACATTCACAGACAGACATTCTCCTACCTCATCTCTCCACACTCTACAACTCACTCCTACAAGGGGAAACACTGCCTGGAGACATGCTGAGATCCAATATTTTCCTCATCCCAAAGCCAAACAAAACCCACCTAGATCCAGGACACTACCGGCCCATCTCCCTCCTTACCGTAGACATAAAAATCTTCACTAAGCTACTGGCAAACCGTATACAACCCTACATTCCCAAATTAGTTCACCTCGACCAAGTAGGATTCATACAAAACAGACAAGCAAGCGACAACATCAGACGCACAATAGACCTCATATGGGCGGCTCAACATAAACAGATCCCAACCCTTCTCCTCTCAATGGATGCAGAGAAAGTGTTTGACCGCCTGCTCTGGCCCTTTCTCTTCGCAACCCTATGGAAATTTTGATTCCCCACACCTATAATCATGGCTCTGACCACCCTCTATGACCAACCGAAAGCCTCACTTCTCATACCCAACACAACACCACCAGAATTCACGATCCCAAACGGCACTAGGCAGGGGTGTCCACTATCCCCACTCCTGTTTGCCCTATCCCTAGAACCCCTATTTCAAAAAATACGTAACACCCCAGCAATACAAGGCCTCAAAATAAACAGAGATGTATACAAAATAGCGACCTATGCTGACGACATCCTCCTGACAATAACGGACCCGGACCACTCCATCCCACCCCTACATAAACTCCTAGATTACACAGCCCATTCAGGATACAAGCTAAACCTAGACAAAACCGAAGCACTCCATGTGGGAATCCCAGAACCAGACTTCACTAACCTCAAAACAAAACACCCCTTCAAATACAACGAAGACAACATACGATACCTAGGCATACGCCTCCCATCCGTCCTCTCAACCACATACACCATACACTACGCCCCCATGCTAGAACAAGCACAAAGAGACCTACAAAACTGGAAGACCATGCCTATCTCATGGATGGGCAGAATAGCTTCCATTAAAATGAACATGCTCCCCAGGTTCCTCTACCTCTTTCAAGCTCTACCCATCCCAATTTCCCCAAAAGACTTCAAAACACTTCAAACTAAAAAAGACAACTTCGTATGGTCCGATAAAAAACCCAGAATCAAGAGATCCACGATGTATAAAAAGACAAAAAATGGCGGGCTAGGACTTCCCAATTTTTACAACTATTTCCAAGCCGCGCAACTGACACAAATCCAACACCTACATGCCCAATGTAATGGACACGGGTTTATTATGTTCTTATTCATTAGAAATCACCTAATACAGTTTATTATGTTGAGTGCCATTTTAGAATTGTACCATTAGGGGGAGTAGTGAGCACCTTTTTGGAGACTTTCTTTGTCTGAGCCATGCGGCCAAGATGGATGCCTGACTCCTCCCCATTCAATGGCACACAGGGATTGGGTAAGTAAAGTCACATGCTCAGTCCCTTTATAAGGTGAAGCCACGTGCTGGAAGGGAACCATTCTTTTTCCAGGCCGAGCATTGAACATCTTGCAGCTGGCAACTGATAAGTATTTGTATCGCTGTTTTTATTTTTAAATTTAGTTTTATTTTAGTCTCATTTTAGTTTAGTTTCATTTAGTTTAATCAATTATTATTTGGTGGTTTTGATTAAACGGAAAATCATATTTTTTGGATAACATTTTGGTAGGGCAAAATCATTTTTATTATACAATGGTTGATGTGTATTTAGCATTGTGAGATTATTGCAGTTAAGATTGTTGTAGTATTGCATTGTTAGTTAAAGTATATAATATTTGACAACTGTTTTATATATGTGTATATATATTGTTTCTTTATGCATGTATATTAAACATTATATATCTTTTACACAACTACCAAGGTGTGTGTCAGTTTGGATATTAATTGTTAAATCATATCTCTTCGAGTGTACATTCTTTTTGTTTGTTTTTTGGGTAATACTTTCAGGAGAGTGTTATTTGACTCCCATTGTGATGCATGCCACATGTGACTAACTCCATTTTGGAATAGCCCACATGGTGAGTAGACTCCATTTTGGATTCATCCTATTTCATTTGTACTTTGGGAGCAACATCTAAATTATTAAGATATACCAGTTAATACCATATCTGGTATTAATTTAGATATTTGGAACAATTATTAAAATTCTCAGTATATTACTATTAGCAATAATTTTCCGTTTCATCTGGCGTAGTCGGCAGGACATTCCAGGAGTTATTAATAATAATAGTTAATAGCCAAACTGCATATTTCCACAATTTTGTGATTTTTTTTTTATTTTATTTTTTTATTTATTTTTTATTTTTTTCCAGAAAGTTATTTTTTGTTAAAACTTATCAGGATTTAGTTTACAAGCCTCCCAAGTTATGTTTGGGTGACAATACCACACTGCGACAAGAGAGGTGTGTTTTAGTGTTGTCATTGCTGCAAGTGGCTTGTGTACTAAATGGTTTTGTTTTGTAATGATTATATTGCACTTGAAACTTTTATGTATTACTCATAAGTCCATTTGAAATCCTGTATTGCTTAAAAGTAGCCTTTTGTGTCAGTTTTATATTGCCCTGGGAAGGGGATTAGCTATTGTATATCCCTGAGAGACCAGGAAATATAAAATAAGTACACGTGGGTGTATTGTGTATCTGCCTAGCGGGTGAACTGCCAGTAGCGGGTGGGGAACTTAGGCTAGGGGGTACTGAGCATATCTGCCTAGCGGGTGAACTGCCATAACGTGGGCTGTAAACTTAGTTACAGTAGCGGGTGGGGAACTTAGGCTAGGGGGTACTGAGCATATCTGCCTAGCGGGTGAACTGCCATAACGTGGGCTGTAAACTTAGTTACAGTAGCGGGTGGGGAACTTAGGCTAGGGGGTACTGAGCATATCTGCCTAGCGGGTGAACTGCCATAACGTGGGCTGTAAACTTAGTTACAGTAGCGGGTGGGGAACTTAGGCTAGGGGGTACTGAGCATATCTGCCTAGCGGGTGAACTGCCATAACGTGGGCTGTAAACTTAGTTACAGTAGCGGGTGGGGAACTTAGGCTAGGGGGTACTGAGCATATCTGCCTAGCGGGTGAACTGCCATAACGTGGGCTGTAAACTTAGTTACAGTAGCGGGTGGGGAACTTAGGCTAGGGGGTACTGAGCATATCTGCCTAGTGGGTGAACTGCCATAACGTGGGCTGTAAACTTAGTTACAGTAGCGGGTGGGGAACTTAGGCTAGGGGGTACTGAGCATATCTGCCTAGCGGGTGAACTGCCATAACGTGGGCTGTAAACTTAGTTACAGTAGCGGGTGGGGAACTTTGGCTAGGGGGTACTGAGCATATCTGCATAGCGGGTGAACTGCCATAACGTGGGCTGTAAACTTAGTTACAGTAGCGGGTGGGGAATTTAGGCTAGGGGGTACTGAGTATTGGACTTTTAGTGACTAGGAAATACATACATATTGATTGTTGTATGTATGTATGCTTGCCTGGGAAAGGGGGTATTGACCCATAGGGACCAGGGGGTATTTGTGTAAACCGAACTGGGGTGGGAGGGCTCTAATGAGGGAACTCCATTGTCCAGTAGGTGCTTGATTTGTGTCTGTGTAAAGTGCATGAGTGGTTGCAGTGCAAAACGGAAGAGTGATTATAGATAGCTGTTTGACAGACCACTAGAAACCACATAAGTATGCATACCTTGTTCAGAAAAAAGCGTGTGAACAAAGAAGAGAAGGCCAAGTATGGGGCAGTCCCTGAATGGGCATGTCTGGGAAAATGGACAGACATAGGGAAGGAGCTTGTGCATTATGCAGCTCCTGTATACCCAGCCACCAGTGGTGATGTAGGGAACATGGCATTGAGACTATGTCTTAAAGTATATTCCAAGAAACAGAGTAAGGCTGCAGCTGAAACAGGATGGATCATTTTGCATGCCTTACGTGAGGAGGTATTAAAAAGAGAAGCCTTGGAAAAGGAACTAATTGATGCAAAGGGAAGGTTAATAGTTGCAACTGAGTGCCTGCTTTCTAATAATGAACGAAATGCTTGTTTGGAAGAACAGTGTGCTACGTTGCGGGTGGACAGAGTGAACCATAGGAGGCCTGTAGGGAAGTTGCCTAAGCCATCCCGAAGGATGAGACCTGTGATAAAGGACTCTCCCAGAGAAAGTTCATCATTGATTTCTTTCTCGGATGAGGAGGAAGATTTTGTGGAGTACAACTACGAATCACCTGATGATGTACCGGACCGCCGTAAGGCCCGTCCTGTCATCACTCAGCAGCGGAAGCGCAGAGTAAATAGGGACCAGTATGGTAATGCAGGAGAGGCACATGATGAGGTGAATGAATTGATGAGAGGGTATACGCAAATGGAATTGTCCGAGTTGGCCAAAGCGTATAAGCAAGGCAGTGATGAAAGCATGGGCGAGTGGCTGTTAAGAGTGTGGGACGCTGGTGCAGACAAAGTGATGCTTAATGCAACAGAAGCAGTGAGTCTAGGCCAGATAACTAATGATCCCCAAGTCAGGCAGATTTTGCGACAGGTGAGGGAAATACAAGGAAACTTCTCATTGCTGGCTATTGTGAGGCATGCCTTGTTAAAAGTTTTTCCCTCTCATGTTGACATAGAGCCTCACACCCCCTGGCACACCTTAAAAGAGGCAATAGTTCGTGTAAGGATCATGGGATGTGTAGCAGGGTTGGATAAGGATAATTGGGCTGGGCCAGATGTAGAGGAATTTACACAAAGCATGCGGTCCCTATTCCTTAGAACAGCCCCTAACCATTTAAGAGCTACCTTGATGTCACTATTATGTGGAGCAGGTCCAAATGGGATAGTACATAAAATAACAACAGTGTTGGCAGAGCTAGGGGAATTTGAGCAAGAGGAAAAAGGGGTATAGCAGCAGCTAGCAGGTCTAAAGACGAGAGTGAGGACATCTCCCCAGTTAAACAAATGTCTGCCCCTCCAGTCAAACATAATCCAAACAGAGACTCCACCAAGTATGCTATTTCTCGAAAGCAGATGTGGGCTGACTTGGTCAAAGCTGGTGTTTCTCCTGATGAGATTGATGGCATCTCTACACCTGCTATGTTTGAGAGGTGGAGGAACATCGTAAAAAGAAAAGTGCATGCTGCATATAGGGATCACAGTTCTGACAAGGTCAGCCTCATCAACCTAGATGAGGATATCTCATCTGGTGCCGCCACCCAGACTGACATCAGAGATGACTTTAATTCAGACCAACCCAAGATGCCCAAGAAACACGTTATCCCTTCCACAGAGAAAGTTAAATCCATCTACCCCTCAGAGGAATTATGGGCCATGGCAGCAGCATCATTCAGCTGACATGATGGCGGTTCCCAGGCAGTGAGTATGTTTCCCCTTACTGCTGGGGACCGACGCCCTCATGTACCGCTGACTGTATGGTGGGGGCGAGGAGCCAACTGCACCAAGGTTTTGGCTTTAGTGGACACTGGAGCTGAAGTGACTGTACTACAGGGTAACCCCTCAAAGTTTGCAGGTCCCATTGTGAAAATAGAAGGTTTGGGAGGAAGGATAACCACGGCAGTGCAGGTTAATGTAAATCTATCTATTAATAAAGGCCCAAAGTTTGTGGCTAATGCACTGATTTCAGAATTACCTGACAATATCTTGGGGATAGATGTATTGCTAGGGCAAAGAATAGAGACTCAGTGGGGGGTGTTCACCTTTGGATTTCCACACAAGCCTTCCTATATCAGAGCTATCAAGGAAGTTGTGAGGGGAAATGCCAACTGGACACCTGTGGTAATTCCTCCTCCTAGTAGTCCGGTAAGACTGAAGCAGTACCGGCTACCAGGAGGACTGAAAGAGATCAGCGAGACAATTTCTCAGCTATTGACATCAGGTGTAGTTCGTCCTGCAGTTAGCCCATTTAACGCTCCTGTGTTTCCTGTCAAGAAGCCAGATGGCTCTTGGCGCATGACGATAGATTATAGGGGACTCAATAAAGTGGCACCACCATTAAGCGCTGCAGTTCCCAATATCGTCTGTGTCATTGAGGACATAGCCAAGCAGGCCAGTGAGTGGCATGCAGTGATCGATTTAGCTAATGCGTTCTTTTCTATTCCCATTGCACCCGAGTCACAAGATCAGTCTGCTTTTACTTGGGAAGGACGCCAATACACTTTCCAAGTTGTGCCCCAGGGATACTTACACTCCCCTACAATTTGTCATGGATTGGTTGCAAGGGATTTAAGCCAGCTCAAACTAAAAACCCCTGTGTTCCACTACATTGATGATATCATGATCACTGGTACCAAGGAAGAAGTGGAACAGACTTTGCCTTTGTTAATTGACCATATGACTAAGAGAGGCTGGGCTATCAATCCAGACAAAGTACAGGGTCCAGCCCAGGAAGTAAAGTTTCTAGGAATGATCTGGGACGGCCCTGTAAGAAAGATACCCCAACCTGTGCTGGATACTTTACAGAACACTCCACCCCCAAAGACTGTTAAAGAAGCGCAAAGATTTCTGGGTGCTCTTGGCTATTGGAGGTCATTTATACCTCACCTTGGACTGTTGTTAAGGCCAATTTACAATGTCACACGTAAGAAATCGACTTTTGTATGGGGAACAGACCAAGTTATTGCATTCAACGCAGCCAAAGAAGCTGTTCTTCAACACCAGGGTTTAGGACCCATCAAAGCTGGAATCCCTTTCCAACTGGATGTGATGGTGACAGAAAATGTAATGTCTTGGGGATTATGGCAGCCACATGAAGTCAAAGGCCAGAGGGCAATACCAATCGGGTTCTGGTCCAAGCAACTAACTGGGGCCCAACAACGGTACTCTGCTTTGGAAAAGAACCTGTTAGCTGCATACACAGCACTGCTGCATGTGGAAACCATAACACTACAAGCACCAGTGTCAGTCCAAACGGACCCATTGCTGGGTGGGTTCGGGATGACTGTTTACCCCTGAAAGCTGAAGTTGCCCAAAGCCAGACATTGTTGAAGTGGAAGTGGTACCTGCAGGAGAGAGGAGGGATACAGGCTGGAGAAATTAAAGAACTCTCTAAACTCTTAAATGGCTTAGTGACATACAAGTCCTTGTCACATCCAAACACCTGTGAAATACCAGTGCTGCAACCTTCCCCTATCAAGTCAGGTCTGCCCTATGACAACAGAACAGAAGCATGATGCCTGGTTCACTGATGGGTCAGCGGTGTTGATCCATAAAGGAAGAAGGTGGACAGCAGTAGCCTACAACCCTCAACAGGGGAAGATTGTGCAAGAGCAAGGCAGGGGTGGATCAAGTCAGTATGCTGAGCTAGTGGCAATAGCATCCCTGCTGGAAGAGACTGACTCACAAGAAATACAGATCTATACTGATAGCTGGGCTGTTTACAAAGCGTGTACAACCTGGATGCCCACCTGGAGAACCAATGGATGGCTAATTCATGGAAGACCAGTGTGGGGAGGTGCAGAATTATGGGAGAAGATCTGGGTGGCTGCCCAGACCCGACTGATCCAAATTGGACATGTTGATGCCCACGTAGCTACTAACTTGGATGAAGAGAACCACAATGCTGTAGCAGATGAGCTGACAAGGATCCGAAATGTGAAAGCTAGTGACCCTGTAGATCCGGTGCTGTTGAAGATGGCAACCTGGGCCCATGAAACTGGAGGGCACAGAGGAAACAAGGCCACATTGGAGTGGGCACGATCAAGAGGGATGCCAATCACCTTGGGACTAGTCACCACTGCTCAACAAGTGTGTGAAGTCTGCAACGAAGTGAAGAAGTGGCCACTCACCACACAGACTCGAGGGTATCTAAAGAGAGGCACATCAGCAGGCCAGATATGGCAACTCGACTACATTGGCCCGCTACCCAAAGGAAGAGGAGGACTCCTTTATTGTTGTACTGCCGTCGACACTTACACAGGATTGCTACAGGTGCTACCTTGTAGAAGTGCCAATCAAGCCGCTACATTGAAGATCCTACAGATAATCGTGATGGCTTATGGGATGCCATCTGAAATTCAAACAGATAATGGCACCCACTTCACAGGACAGCTGGTACAACAATGGGCACAGGACTCAAGGATTAAATGGATATTCCCCCCTAATCAGAGCACAAAACAAATTACTCGCAAAACTGTCCCTAGCTACCAGACGCACCATAGCGGGACAATGGGGCAACCAAAGCATACCCACTTTGGGGACCGTACTCCGCAAAATGGAAGAAACTAAAGAACTGGATAAACTCTCGGCCCTGGTCCACGACACAATGCACAATTATAACAAAATTTGGGACCCATGGCTCATCTACCACCTAACTCACACCTGAAAAGTGATACACCTCTTAGACCAACCTTAAGCCAAGAACTTTTCCTTCCCCCCCACAACACCTCCTAGACCTCACCCAACCCCCCTCCCCACAACTTTCCAGTCCCATGGACCACACCACCTGTCCCTCCTCTCCAACACCCACCGACACCTAACACAACATACATACCCCAACACCAACATACTCCACTTCTACTCAACACAAAATCAAAAACCAGAAAGAAACTCACCCAGGCAACCACAAAATCAGCAACGGCAATGATAATCACCCCTACAAAGGGAATACACTCGCCATCCACACACACCCACCTTGAGACGACTATAACGCAAAACAAACTCCAAGAACACCAACAACAAAATACAATAGAATAAAAACATCACCGCAAACACCAAGAAGCCCATTCCCCTACCCCGCGGGGTACGAAGACATCCTCTACATCTCGAAAGTTATACAACGCACCCTACGAAACCAAAAACAGCCTACAGAGTGCTTAGTAACAACAGATATGAACAAATGTTAATGATTAAAGGAAATATACTTGGTATGTATAAGTTCAAACAATCTTATAAGACCTAATATCCCCCTTCCTCTTTATATTCTGTACCCCATCAAAAACTGAAAACAACTGAAAATAAAGACCTTACAAAAAAAAAGTTATAAAATGATTTGCATGTCAATAAGTGAAATATGTATTTGACCACTTAAACTTAGTTCTTCTTGGCAAAACCCTTGTTGACATTTACAGAGGTCAGATGTTTCTTGTAGTTGGCCACCAGGTTTGCACACATCTCAGGAGGGATTTTGTTCCACTCCTCTTTGCAGATCCTCTCCAAGTCATTAAAGTTTGACGTTTGACAACTCGAGCCTTAAGCTACCTCTATGGATTTTCTATGGAATTAAGGTCTGGAGACTGGCTAGGCCACTCCAGAACCTTAATGTGTTTCTTCTTGAGCCACTCCTTTGTTGCCCTGGCTGTGTGTTATGGGTCATTGTCATGCTGGAATATCCATCCACGACCCATTTTTAATGCCCTGGCTAAGGGAAGGAGATTCTCACCCAAGATTTGATGGTACATGACCCTGTCCATCGTCCCTTTGATGCGGTGCAGTTGTCCTGTCCCCTTTGCAGAAAAACACCCCCAAAGCATAATGTTTCCACCTCATAGGCAACATTCCTCCTCCTCCAAAAACGGTGAGTTGAATTGATGCCAAAGTTCTTCTCTGAATCATTCACATGTTCATTGACAATCTTCAGATGAGCCTGTACATGTGCTTTCTTGAGCAGGGGGACCTTGCAGGCACTGCATGATTTCAGCCATTCATGGCATAGTGTGTTACCAATTGTTTTCTTGGTGATTATGGTCCCAGCTGCTTTAAGATCATAAAACAATATCCTCCTGTCGACAGGTGACTTTTACACACCTTTAAGCGAGTGCTCCTAATCTCAGCTCATTACTTGTATAAAAGTCACCTGAGAGCCGGAAATCTTGTTGATTGATAGGGGATCAAATGTCTATTTCATTCATTGACATGCAAATCAATGTATACCTATTTTTGTATGCACCTACCATTAAAATTATAGACTGATCATTTGTTTTTCAGTTGACAAACGTTCAAAATCACCAGGGGATCAAATACTTTTTTTTTTTCCTTCAGTGTAGGGGATTGGGGAGAGAAAGAGACATACAGAGGGGCTGAGGGTGAGAAAGAGACTCAAAGATGGACTGGGGTAAGAATGAGGCACACGGTGGGGCTGGGGGAAGAGAGGCACACAAAGGGTCAGGGAAAGGAAAGAAAGAGACACACAGATGGACTGGGAAAGGGGAAAAGAAGACTCACAGTGGTGCTGGGAAAGGGGAATAAGAGACAAATGAGGGATAATTTACATTATACTAGAGCGAATAAAACAAACAATCAAAAGAAGGAATAATAAACACAAAAGGGGACAAGAGTTAAAAAGAAAGGTTAAAAGAAACACAAGTAAAGATGCATTTTTTTGTGGGGGGTGGGTGTGTAATGAATCTTTGCTTTTCTTCTGCTATCCCTGTACCTCAGTTCTACAGCACAGTGATCTAAAGTTAATTGACAGGTGAGAAAAATGCCTCTTATTAAATAGGTTTTCCAATGAATGTGTGCATTTGTTAGCAACCATGCTAGCACAATGTGCAGATAAAAGTTGTAATTGATTCTGACAGTAATGCATATAGTACATACATATATATGCATGAATATTAAGGTGTGTGTGCCCCCAAACTGCACGGCAGCCTAGAACATCTGCACCTAAAAAAAATAAATGTCCTATGCAGCACATCTTTCTCAAATATTTGATTAGCACTCCCTTACTCTCACTAAACGTTGGGTAGATATAGAGAGCAACATTCTGTTACCTAATATTCTACCTTACTTTATCTGTCCCTCCAAAAAATGTGCACACTACATCTTTGCTTTATCCCCTCATCTTGCACTCACTGCACATATTAACTACCTCATTAAGTTTGCACTCATGTCAGACCGCTCCCCACTAATGCCTCTGTAGTGGGATCCCATATCTACTCCCGGGTTGCAACCCCCAAGGCTGTTTTTATAATTTAGATGTCTCATAGGAAACCTGGTCACAGAAGACCGAATGAATACATGCTCAGGACTGAAAGAACAAGCCACTCTTACCTGTCACAATTTTTGAGATACTTGCAGTTGAAAGGTTTTGTTCAATAGCCCAAAATATTACAGACCACCTAAAAGAGACTCACATGGTTTGAAAAAATAGATCTTCAGAGGCAGTTCACTAAAGGATTCATCTCCCTAATATACCAGGAGCTTTTGGGCTTCCTAGGTAACGCACCTTTGTTCTACATAGTGAAGTGGCATTAAAAAATATTGGCCTCCCTGATCTCCTGGCAAGACATGTTAAACTATATATGTCACTGAAAGCGAACAGGGAAACAAAACCCTCTTCAGATGGTACCTAACACCTACATCAAATGCAAGACACTACACTGAACAGGTGTTGATGAGATTGCAGCAAGGCTGGAACATACTACCATCAATGGTAGGACTGCTCATGCCTACAACCATACCAACACAGGTGGCTGTGTGGCTATCCCAAGCCTGTACAAACCAATTCATGTACCTTCCTTCTCTCCAGGCTAGTTGTAGGTGTCACGGTTATAACCGCAACATACAGACAGCGAGACGTAGTTGCCCTGGAAGAGCCCAACAGGGGACTTGAACCTGAGGCCTTGTGCATTCCTGGTCTGTGTCTCTGCATCTGAACCACATTTGGTTCTTGCTTTCAGCCTGGAAGTTAATTCTTGCAAGGGTGAGCATATATCTCTGCCTGCCGGACTCCCAACCCAGGTAAGCCCTGACATAAAGAACTGACCAATGGAGTCTGCAGAGATGTGCTCACCCATGTCCCCAAGTGTCCAGTCTGGTCCAGATCGTTTCAGACTTACAGCGAGAATTAGTGCTTCTTAAAGACTCAGTACACCCAGCCCCGGAACCTGGTTATCCTGAACCATTCGTTATTATGCCAGAAAGATTCAACGGTAGCTGTACATCCTTCCAGTGCTTTAAGGTGGACTGTGAAATATCATTTGCCTTAAAGCCGTGTACCTATGCTAGTGACTTTATAATGGTACTGTCAGGGTGGCGGTCCGGTGCCCGGGACCCAGACACTGTCTGGGCGGCGGTGCGAGGACCGGGACCCAGTATGCCTGATATTCAGAGTAGGAGTCACAGTGTGGAGGAGGATTAGCAGGGTAACCGCACGCCCCCTGGTGTTGAGCACCAGCGTTTGTGCAGCCACATACTAGAACCCTGATTCAGCTTATGCGGATCCCAGGAACTAGGAGCAGAAATTAAGCAGACCTCCCAGGAGTTAAATAGGGAGGCTCTGCAGCAAGAATGTATCCAGTACAGAAGCAAGGCAAGACTAGGAATAGGCACCAAGCATAAAAACAAGACAGAACTAATAGAACCCAGAACCGGAGAAGGATAGAAAGCTAAACCCAGAACGTGTACACAAGACATGAGGGAAACATGAACATAACATGGGCATGACTGGACAGGACTGTACATGGACTGGGTATACAAACTAAAACAAGACAAGATAAGATAGGCAAAACAAGAGGAGAAATAACTAAGCACTATATATGGAAATCATGGGGATTTAGTCACATTATATGATCATACAATGCATAAGCCTGCCAACAACGCCAATATACCCCATATCTGGCAGGTCCTACACTGCCTAATGTTAGCTAAAACAACCAAAGAAGACATATATAGCACTTACCTGCAAGAAAGGGAAGAAGCCTTGAGCAGTTGCCTGCAGGACACTGAAACAAAAAGGAATGATGGAAAACAAACGGGTGTGGCAACATAAAACAAACATCTAAATGAATCCAAGAGACTGGGAAATC